TTTTTTCCTAGTTTTAATCCTAAGATAGAATAACTGTCTCTTCCCACTAAAAGGGGCGGTTCCAATTATTCCTTCATCACTCTCAACCACCCGGTAACCTCCCACTACTACTTCTAACTGTCTGATAACCTCTTTCCACTACCTCCAACTGTCTAGTAACCTCCTTCCATCAGTTCCCTAGTAACCTTCTTTCATCAGCTCTCAACCGCTTCCATTGTCTCTGAATCGGGTTCCACTTGCTCTGAACTTCTTCCATTGTCTCTGGACAAGATATGCCGCTTACTCCGACTTGTTTCCATCGTACTCCTAACCGGTTTACGGGGATGTATCCCCAATAGCTTCGAGTTAAATGGAATCTTCGGTTTTCCTCTTGTTGGCTTGTTCTATTGAGCTTTTTGAATAAAATATGAAAGTGTATAGGCCCTCCACTAATGTTAAATACGAAATTATTAACCCAGAGCCAACGAAGGTAGTTATCCTATGATCTGTGGAAGCTGTTGTTTTCTATCTTGTGGAGGCAACCTTCCTCTGCTTTGTGGAAGCACCGCAGTCCAATGGAGGCAGTTGTTTTCAACCCAATTGAGACAACACTTTTTGACCTTTTGGAAACATTGTTCCGGGATGGAAGCGCCATAGTCCAAGGAATTGCTACCCTAAGGTCCATGAAGGTTGTTGCTTTCGGCCCTGCGGAAGCACCACAATCCAATGGAAACTGTTGCCTTCGACTCTGTGGAAGCAGCAGTCTTTGGCTCCGAGGCTTGAAGCTCCATTGCTGTTAAGCGGCTCCATGGCCAATGAGCTCTTACTTCACTTTTATCTTTGAGCCTCCTTCACGTTTCAGGTGTTTTTTGACCCATGTCCAACATGGGTGTTGATTTGATGTTTTGAATGTAAATTAATTTTTAATATAATATAAAAAATAAAAAATATGTATTTGATTTTATATTTTTTTGGAAAAAAAAATAAAATTGAAAGAGTAGTGAAGTTTGGAGAAAATCCCCCAAACAAATACACACTAAGTGGAAATTTCTTAAATTATAATACACCCCCCGTCCCGTAAAAAGAACACCGTTTGTTTTTTGCACGTAGATTTTTAAATATTAGTATTATATTAATTTGTAGTAAAAAAGAAAAAAATACCCCTATTAGTATGGTGTGTTATAAAAGTGGTGGCATTTGTGTAATATATTGTAAATTGTAAGGGTATTTATTATGTTAGGTAGGTACTACCGTTACTAAGTTAAGAAATTATACCTTGTTTTAAGACGGATAAAAATAGAAAATAGTATCTTTTTTGTGGGACGGACGGAATACATAAAATAAAATAAAAAATACTCCATTTATCCAACAAGAAAGTATATACAATTAGTTTTGTTTTATTGAATTTAATATTAAAAATATTCTTATATTTGTATAATTTATTATACAATTGTTAATATATTTGTATTATAAAATACTAACAGAAGTATTGTTATCTTTTTTTTCTTTTATTTGTACTATATTTTAATATAATATTAAAAAATTAACACAAAAAAATAATTGTATATTTTCTAACTTGAACCGAGAAAATATTAATTTATCAAAGTTTTTACTAAATTAAATTGTGTGACGATTATGTGCGAATTAGAGTATAAAAACAATAAAATTCTATCAAATTTGCTACAGTTATTTATTTATTTATTATAGAAAAAAAATATATATTTAAAGATATTTAATTTATAATATATTGTCAAATTCATATTTACGAAAATAAAAAATAAATATTATTGGGAATTTAACGGAGTTTCAATTTTCTAAAATCCATATTATGCTTATTGATTATTTTAATTTTTTTTTCTGTATTAATATTGATTTAGGGTATGTTTTTTTAGCCGAATTTTCCTAAATTTTATTATTTGGACTCTGCATTTTTTTAAAATAATATATATTTTTTTATAAAATATCACATCAAACATTATTTTCGTACCAAATTCAAACTAATTCAAAATATTAAAAAAATAAAAATAAAAAAGTGGGAACCTGCGTATAAAAACCAGAACCAATTCCGACATACCCATAATATTCCTAAACCCATGCGTAGGGTAGGGCAGTGTGACGGTGACCATTACTTTTATAAAGAAATATAAATAATTATTAAATTCAAATGTCGGCATGTCTAAATAAATAAATTTATTTAAAATTTAAAATTCAAATACCAAATACTGCAATATTATTGTTACACTCCATTAGAAAGTTTAAAATATTCTAATTATGTTCGCTTGAGTGTAATTTGATGTTCTTTTTTTTTTTTTTTTTAAAGTAGTATAAATTTTAATTAGATTACATTAATATATAATATTAGTGTTACATTTTAAGTAAAAATATGTTTAAATAAATACTCCCTCCGTCTCGAAACTAAATATTCATTTGTTTTTTGCACGTAGTTTTAGAAATATTAATATTATATTGAGATATAGTAGGAATAAAGTAGAAATGACTAAAATAATCTTATTAGTATGTGTGATATAAATGTAATGATATTTGTGTAATATATTGTAAGTTGTAAGAGTATTTGTAATGTTAGGTAAATAGTACAGTTACTAAAAAATGAAATGAATACTTTGTTATGGGACAGACTAAAATGAAAAAACGATTACTTTGTAATGAGACGAAGAAAATATATATATTTTTTTTAAAAAAAATTACTATAGATTAATAAAAGTATCCATTTTTGGCCCTATTACTAAAAATATATTGTGATAAATTGAAATTTTAATTTTATTTCAAGCAATATTATAGTAGTTTGGATAAACTATTTTTTTAGTTTCGTATCTGATCCACTTTATCATTTTAGAACTTTAAGTGGATCCGGTTTGAAAATAGTCCTATAAATAAAAAAAAATTTCGCTAAAATGTTCCTTCGGTGCCGGAGTCGCCACACGGGCAACCGCTGCTGATATGGTGCTGACGCAGCTGACATTTTATCGCCACATAGATTCCACGTCAGCGACACATGATGTTTTTATTTTTTTTTTACAAAAATGTCTTTGTAAACTATTTTTTTAGTCCCGTGACATACTTTATCATTTTTAGGATATTTAAGTGGAACATGTTTCAAAATAGTCCTGCAAGTAAATTTTTTTTCCTTAAAATAGTCCTCCGATGTAGCATCAACGTGGCGATGACATATCAGCCGCGTCAGCGCCACATCAGCAACGGCTGCCAGCGTGGCGACTCCGGCACCGGAGGACTATTTTAGCGAAAATTTTTTACTTACGAGACTATTTTCAAACACGATTCACTTAAAGTTCTAAAATTATAAAGTGAATCAGATACGGACTAAAAAAACAATTTATCCTATTAGTTTTGGTTGCATTTCGAGCCATTACTAGAAATTTGAGGGGAAAAATAGAGAGAAATTTGAGGGGAAAAATAGAGATTATTTTCATGAAATAAAAAATATATCTATATTGCCATGATAACTATGATAATAAATATGCAATAGTTCTATTTTATAATTTGTGTTTGTCTTTAAATAATAGTTTTATAAATTTTTTATTTCCTTTTACAAATTATTATAGTATCAATATTTTTAAAAATTTCTGTGACTAAAATAAATTCGTTTATTCTTCGGACAAAGAGAGTATAAGTTTACATAATATTTATTTATTATTAATTTTTACTATTCAATACTCACGAGTATTTGTTATTATATTCAAATTATTATTTAAAAAAATAAATAAATGAATTATAAATAATTTCTATTACCTTCATTATATAATTTTTGTTTCTTTTTGTGTCTTCTTGATTTTAATATTTTTAAATATAAAATTAATTTTTAATATAATATTTAATATAAAAATAACAATAAATGTAATTTATATTTTTAGTGAAGTCGAGAGATTGATTGCTAAAGTTAAAAAATTTTAAAAAGATAAAAATCCTATTTTTCATAAATAAAATAGATGACATTAGTACTTCCTTTGTCCATCAATCACTATTTTGTTGGTTGTTGTTATAATTTATTTATAATAAATAATTTTATTTATTCATAATTTTATTATTTATATTTTAGTGAGTAATAACTAATTTATTAACGTACTATTTCTTTATTTACTCTATTGGTTTTTTATTAATATTTTAATAATTTTTTAAAAAAATATTTCATATTACTTTTTATTTATTTTATTTTAATATTAGAATATTATTTTTTATTTTATTTTATTTTTTTCAAATAAACCTACATAAATTTACCAATTGGAGAGTATATTTTTAAATTGAATTAATATTAAAGTCAAATTCTCTTCTTTTAATTTGAGTCTAATTTTTTATTATATAATTATCACAAATTTATATAAAAGTATATTATTTTTATAAAATATTACATTTAAATAATTAATATTCGAATATAAAAATTACAAACCTTTTTGTGCTTTTCTAATTTTTTTGTCCAATTAGCAATTATTTTCATTATTTATAAAAATAAATTACAAGTGGAAAAAAAAAAGTTATGTTGTTAATTTTATTTGGTTTATATGTAATAATTTGTAAAAATATAAAAATATATTTATATATATAAAGATATAATTAATTATTATTAAATTTAAAAATATTGGAGTGAGTTTGGTAAAAAAAAAAAAAATTGTTGCAGGTGTACTAAAATTCAAAATTGAATAAATAAAGCCTTAGGACATTGTGGTTATTGGCTGAGATTGTTACCTAAAATTGGATTAATTTTTGACCTAATATCTATAATTAAAATAAATTTAAAAAATATATATATTTTTAATAAAATATACTCAATATATTATTCTATAAAAACATAAAATTATATATAATATAAATTATTAGAAAATATATAAATAATTAATATATTAAATCATTTTTTAAAAAATAGTAAAAATGTTAAATATAAAAAAATAAAAATATTTTTTGAAAAATAAAAATGAAAAATCCCTAAAAAGGGAAGACAAAAAAGATAGTTATAATAATATTGAAATTAAATAAATGGGAAAGGCAGAGAAAGTGAGCATGGAAAGCGTGAGATGATGAGAACCGCATTGATCTTCGATTAATCTCCCTGTAATTCAATCCGTAAGCTTCTCTCCCACTCAAGAATTCCTGAAAGGTGACTAGATTAATCATTAATGGCTGAAGCGGCAGGGAAAGGAGTGGAAACCGAGGGGGTTTTGAAGATGAAGAAGGAGCTACAGAGAGCGGTGGAAGCCATTGTTGAGGAAGATGATGATGATTGCGACTTGGAGGCCACTGAGCGTGCAATTCGAACTCTGTGCGCTCTCAAGGACTTGAAATCGATGCAAAATCACCAACCATATCCGAAATTCGGGAGTCTGGGTTTCGCAGAACCCCCTCAGGAATTTAAGTGTCCACTTTCGGGGATTGTGATGGAATTTCCTGTTGTCGTCGCCTCTGGTCAGGTTGGAATCGCTTTATGCTCTTCAATTTCGATAGGTTGCTTGCTTGATTCTGTTTTTGCTGGTTGGTTAGTTTGTTGTTTGTTCGAATTTTAGGGTGAATTCGAATATGCTTCTGGTAGGTTCCAATTGGGGAATTTCTGTTGGTGTTGTTCGTCACTGTTCTTGTGACAAGTGTCGATTCGAATCGTTGTGCTTATTTGTTGATAATTTGAACAAACATTCATAATTACATTCATCTTAACTGCAATTCAATTGTAGAATATGTGAATCAGGAAGTAGTTGCTGTAATCTGCTGGAAATAAGTAATGAATATACTTTTGAGCTTGAATTTATGAAGGATTGTCTAACTCATTTCGAAGATTCAAATGAAATTAAGAGTTTCTTAATTATCATATTGATTTGGTGAGCATTCTTTTGATGTTATAGCTGGAATTCTGCAGACATTAGATGAGAAATCTATTCGAAGATGGCTAGAAACCGATCGATCATGCCCAATGACCAAGCAAGAGCTACCGCATTGTGACCTAATTCCAAATCTTTCAGTCAAGAAAATGATCATGGAATGGAACAAACTGCACAGTGCAGATACGCCGGCATCGATTGTTGATAAAAAAGAAGAACACACAACATATTCGAATGAAGAACATCTGATGGAATTGCTTCGAAGATTATCTTGTTCAACTGATAATCAAGATAGAGATGCAGTTGAACAGATACGGAAGCTGACATACAAATCCCCTTCTTTCCGAACCCTCTTTGGAAAGATCGAGGGTGCTATTCCATGTTTGATCCAAAGTGTTGGTATTAACCATGATCTGATGATGCAGGAAGATCTGCTTGCAATAATATTCAACATTTCTACCGATGAGGATGTTAGGAATAAGATAGTAGCAGATTGTGGAGCATCGGTGATTTCTTTTCTAATAACATCCTTGGGAAGTGAAAACAGCGTGGAAATGTCAAGGCACGCAGCTGCTGCACTGAATGAATTATCGAAGGTTGATTCATACAAAACCAAAATCGGCGAATCGGGTGTTTTCCCATCTCTATTTGAAGTTCTTCGATTCAGGGAGGGGAATCTTTTTTCCTCAAGGGATGCTGCTTTAGCGATTCTCAATTTATGCACTGTGATTCAGAACAGGGAACGGGCGATCTCTGACGGTGCTGTAATGCCCGTTTATGAAATGATCAAAGACCGGATACTCATTGACGAAATGCTCGACATTCTTGCAATGCTGTCGAGGCATCAAAAGGCCGTCGAGGATATGGAAGGGATAGGAATACTGCATTGCCTGTTTGATTTACTGAAAGAGAGTTCTACTACCGAGCAAAACAAGGAAAATTGTGTCGCGATTATCCACGCTATGTGTATGAGCAACCGGAGGAATCTTAGGAATGTAGATAGAATCGAGAACGGGTACGAGATTTTATCTCAGGTTGTGAGAACTGGAACGTCGAGGGCGAAGAGGAAAGCGACGGACATCCTTAATCGGCTGAGTAAGTTCGTATATTTGCACAGTGCTTGAGTAGAATATGTCGTAAGAACTTGTACATATTTATGCGTCATTCTTGACCTTGTGTGTTCAAAATAAAGGCATGTGTGTTCATCTTTGTTGGTGCATTCTTGTCGTTAGATTTAGATATTTCTTTATTTTTTATGATCAATAAATAATTTTATTATTTTTTTTCAAAATTTTTATCACTTGTTCTGATTTCCGGGAGATTTGATTCTTGAATTTAGAGTTAGTGAGTGTTTGTTTGGTACACAACACTGACATATTTATTTGTTCTTGAATTTGAATTTGAACTCCACTTGGGCATCGAACTATAGAGATTATGTCAAGATACTAACATATAATAGTATTTTATTGGTCACTAGAAGTATTCTATACATTTTTGCTTTTATATTAATGTATAATTATTTTTTGGGATATTTTGAAGTGAAATATATAAAAATAAAAAAAAAAAATTAAAAAAAAGGTACTTTCAATTCAAACTGAAAATGTACATATTATGGATGATTGTTAAATTTTAAAATTATACTCACTCTGTCCCATGTAATATGGGTGTATTACCGTAGATATATTTCCAAAAATAGAAAGAACAAGTTACGTGAGTGAGACGGATGAAAATAGGAACAAATTATGTGGAATGGAGGGAGTATTATATTAAAATAAATAATGAACCATTTTTCGTTTGTTGTTATATAATGGAATGTCACTATTATGATGAATTTTTTGATTAATGCCCCATGGTCTCCCATAAGACAATTATGATTTTTAAATTAATGCCCTAGTGGTTTCCCACTAGACAAAATTAGATCTCATATTTTTATTATGCATCAATGTTGTGTTTTTTTTTCATTTTATTTTATCACTTATTTTTATTATTTATTTTTTTTAAAAAAATATCAAATCAAATTATTATTATTATTTTATATTTTAAATTTAAAATATTGCATCAATATTTATTTATATTAAATTAAACAACTATTTAAATTTAATTTTTTATTATTTAAAAATCCAAACCCAAACCCACGAACAAACGCACTCCAATTTTTATTTATTTATTTTTTTTTTTATGTAAAATATTATCTACTTATATCATGTTAAATTTTTATTTTCAATTTAATTTTTTACTATCATCACTATCATCAAACTATGTCCAAACAAACTTGTAATTTGTTTGTTTAAAGTTGGAAAGTTTTCTATTAGTTAAAAATTAGTTTTTTTTTTTTTTATTCTCAATTTATTTTTTTAAATAATATTTTTATACCATATTTTGTAAATATATATTATATTGAACTAAATAATAATACTCTCTCCCATTTCGATTAATGATATTTTAATATTATAGTAAACTAGATCAAAAATTAAGTGAGTTATTATAAAAATTTTATTAAAAAATTAATAAAAAATAGTAAGATAGAAAAAAAAAAAAAAATAGTGCTAAATTAATAAATTTAATAGAAAAAAAAATAGAGAAAGAGGAATAATATTTTTTTATTTAAATTGAAAACAAACAAACCACCTGTTTATCCAAATAAAAAAATTACTAACAGAAGAAGACATCCATTGCTGTTTATCTCCAATTTTCCAGTTTGTTCTTCCGGTAAGTACACTTGTCGCTCTTCACTCCTTTCTTCGCGTCGCCAATCCTAATTCCCAAACTTATATTCTCTTTCTCAGATTCCCTGCATTTCATCAGATTCTTCCAGGTTTCCCTTCAATTTACAGGTTTGTCGGATTCTAATTTGTTTTGCAAGCCACTGGGAATTCATCAAAATTCTGCTTCGACTTTTTTTTTTTGTGTGTATGAAGAATGCGGCTTAATTAGATGTTGGATTCTTAGTGACACTCTGCGTGCCCTAAATCAGGTACTCTAGATTGTTCAAATGGGGTGGGGTGGGGTGAGGTGGAGCAGCTATTTTTGAACCATTTTTTTCATATATTTGTCCCCGTTTTAACCTGCCATTAAATGCAATTGAGGTTCATCTTAGATCTGGTAATTTATTTGCGAACTTAGGGTTTCACTGAAAAATGCTCGCAATATGAAAGCACGATGTTAAAGTGAAGAAATTCTTCTAATTAGTTCTAATTCTCTGTTGGCAATTGATATTTAAAATTAATTCATGTATGCATTGAGGCAATTGCAGTTAACAAATTGGAAATGTTTCAGAAAAAAAAAAAAAAAAAAAAAATTGGGGATCAAAATCCTTTTGTGGGCAGGTATTAGTGATTAAAGGTATCTGAAAACATTTCTATTTCCCATTGGAATAATTTGAACTTTTAGGTAATTGGATGCAGCAATATTTGTTGAATTGCTAATCAGTTTGATAAACTACTTCCAATTATTGCTTAATTTTGATCATCAAATTGGGCTATACTCTTTTATTTATGCATTTGGATTTTGGGAAATGATTTATTGATCTATCGTTAGCTGTTTTTTGGGATGGATGTTGCATTCTCTTTCTAGAATTTCTTTTTTATCTGAAAAAGTCACTATATCTTAGATCAATTTCTTTCTACTTGTTGAATTCCTGAGTTTCGAACGTTATTTGATAGTCTAAAGATTTATGATGTGTATTACTAGTGTTCTTGGGCAAAAACTACCTGCAATCTTACTTCTGTTTAGGTTTCCATGGCAGAACTCATTGAAGCTACTTCTTGAAATATTGGAAAGTTCTTGAGGTCTTTCTCGATTGAAGTATATCTGAGTGGAGTAGGCTACATTCGCATTGCATTTTCCGGTCGTAAGAGTAAACATGGTTGTTTTGGCGTATTCAGGGGTGTTTTACCACACAGAAATTAGTCTTTTCCAAAATAAACAACTTACTAACAATGTAAGATTCATACGAAGGGGGTCTGATATTATTAATGGGAGTCTAACAATGACTAGATCTTCGGTAGCATGGAACTCCCATTGCGTGAAATTACTAAAATCAGGGCAGTTAGGGCCAAGATTTCGGAATTTCTTACCACGAACAAGAAAGAAGCAGTCTTTTACCCATTCGATCGAAACAATTGCAGCTGAGGTGATGTTTTAAATCTTAGCCCTTAATTTTTTCATTGCCTGTTTCTTCAGTTTATGGGACAAATCTTCTGTAGGCTATAAAAAAAATTGACTACCCAAAGATGTTACGGCTCATTGTTCGTAATCATTCGACCTACGCCAAGAGCGCAGCAATCTTACTTACACTGACATTATTGATTGTTCCGAGAGCTGAAGCTGTGGATTCCTTAAAAATCGTAACCTGTTTGGTCAGGGAGTGCAGGTAGTGTGTTCCATTTACTTTCTTAACGATTTTGGAAGAATTAACATTGTAAGAGACAAATGTATCAACAGGTTGGAGCTTGCAAAGTGTGCTGCAAACCCGTCGTGTGCAGCTAACATTGCCTGTCTTCAGACATGCAATGATAGACCCGATGAAACCGAATGTCAGGTAAATCCCATTTGATTCGTAGTTTTAGTACAGGCAGTGAATATAACTATCTAGTTCGTCTTTTTTTTTTTAAAATAAAATTAGTGACGAGTGGTCCGTCTGTCTAACAGATAAAGTGCGGAGACTTGTTTGAAAATAGTGTTGTTGATGAATTCAATGAGTGTGCAGTCTCACGAAAGAAATGTGTGCCTCGTAAATCTGATGTAGGTGAATTTCCGGCACCCGATCCAGCTGTTCTCGTGCAGAATTTCGACATAAATGATTTCAACGGGAAGTGGTATATAACCAGTGGCCTTAATCCTACGTTCGACACCTTCGATTGCCAAGTACACGAATTCCATACAGAATCGAATAGATTAATTGGGAACTTGTCGTGGCGAATAAAGACACCCGATTCTGGGTTTTTCACCCGAACAGCTGTCCAGCGATTTGTGCAAGATCAAAACTATCCTGGCATTTTATACAATCATGACAACGAGTATCTTCACTACCAAGATGACTGGTACGTATGCCCCCCCGACATGTTTTTCCATTAAAAGATTTCTATAATTCGATTGCTAAAAATATTATGTATTCGAAATATTAGTTAAAGATTGAAAGATAACGCAGGGGATGCATATAAAGTAACATGACTTTTTCGTCTCTTTGATTGCTTTGTACTCAGTTTTATTTTTACATGATATTAGAATGAGTTATGAAGCTACTTGGCCATGAACTCGAACATGAGATGTCCGGGATCTGATATCATGTTAAATGGGCAAAATTACTCATAATTCACCTATGGTTTGAAAATTTTGTACCATTCTCTTTCATGATTTAGAAATTGCATGAAACTCGCTTTTTAGAAAATATTGCACATAATCCTTTTTGTGTTAGGATTTTTGTGCAATATTTTTCAAAATACGATGGAATCTTGCACAATATTTAGGTGATTATGTGCAATATTTTTTAGTAGAATGGTACAGACATTCCAAATCATAGAGTTATAAACTATTTTGCTTATTAAAAGCTTAAGTTTAAAGGGACATGTATCATTACTTAATTACTTAAATCTCATTTTTCTTTTTTGTTCATATACAAAATGTTTTGATTTCCTTTATTAATAAAAAATTATACAGCCTTCATTCTATAAAAAGGGAACCATTTGTCGCTTACGCCATTGTATTGACATTAAAAATATCTTTATAATTTTTTATTAATAAAGGAAATCAAAACATTTTGTATATATCATACAAAATGTTTTGATTTCCTTTATTAATAAAAGTTTATACAGCCTCCATTCTATAAAAGGGAACCATTTGTCGCTTACGCCATTGTATTAACATTAAAAATATCTTTATATTTGTATAATTTACTCTATAAATATTATTGTATTTATATTATAATAGACTAATAAAGGTATTTTTGTCTTTTTTTTTTTTGCTTTTGTATTGATATAATAATTAATATTCAAAGATCTATACAAAAAAAAATCCATGGTACTCTTCTTACGGGAACGGAGGTAGTACTATTTCTTTGTATTTTTATTACTATAAAAAGCAAAAAATATAAGCTAATATTAAAACTTGTGCCTAAAAGTTTGAGCACAATTTTAGGTGTTGAAGGGAGTATATAGTCAACCAACATACATGTTACTTACTCCTCCATGTCGAATCTATTGTTCGCATGCATTTGGCAACACGATTTTTCGACTAATACTTGGAAGTCGATTTGGGCAGGTACATTATTTCATCAAAGGTCGAAAACCAACCGGACGATTACATCTTCGTGTACTACCGGGGCAGAAACGACGCATGGGATGGATACGGAGGAGCAGTGGTCTACACAAGAAGTCCGGTTTTGCCCGAAAGCATCGTGCCCCGACTAGAAAAGGCCGCGAAAAGCATCGGCCGGGATTTCAACAAGTTCATCCGGACAGACAATACTTGCGGGCCGGAACCTCCCCTGGCGGAGAGATTGGAGAGGGCGGTGGAGGAGGGGGAGGAGGTGGTGGCGAAAGAAGTGGAGGAGGTGAAGAAGAAGGAGATGACATTGTTGGAGAGATTGGGAGATGGATTGAAAGAGTTGATTAAGGACAGAGATTATTTTCTGAGGGAATTGAGCAGAGAAGAGATGGAGATACTGAATGGCCTCAAAATGGAAGCTTCTGAGATTGAAAAGGTGTTTGGCAAAGCCATACCTTTGAGGAAGATAAGATAGATAGATAGATAGATAGATATATGTTTTGTATTGCATTGTGGTAATTATTTTGAATTCATTAGTAGCCATTGGATGAAATTTATTTAGATTTAATGGTTATAATTTGAAGGAAAAAAAATTGTGGATGATTTTTGTTTTTGTTTTTTAATATTATATAAAGATGAAATATATAAATTTAAAGAACACCTGTGCCTTCTAAAAATTCTTCAAAAACATAATGCAATACATGATTGTCGTCATCGGAGCATCCAACTACCAATTCATTTGCACTGCTTTCATTTTCTATTCATTTAGACGACGAGGATGACGATGGAGAATCCTAGTTAAATATAAAGGATAATGGGTTTTAAACTCCACTAGAAAATTCACATTTAAGGGGCATAAAAAAGACTGAACTGAAAAAAGAAAGATCGATGAAATTTTACATTTTGATATTGAAACCATAAAAATAATACATCATAAGTTGTCGAACTATGAATAAAACATTTGAATAAATAAACAAACACAATGAGCTTGTAAAACAAAATTTAGATTATAAAATACTTAAAACATGAGAATAATCTTCTAGCAATAGATCTGAATGAATGATGTTCAAACACCAATTTTCATATACTATATTATAATTAACAACAAGAGATCAAAACAAAAAGAACATAACAATATCAACAAAATTCATTGAATTTGCAACGATGAGACTAAAATTGATTGAAATGACTTTTTTGGGACCAAAATTAATGAGTTTTTTTTATATTGGAATCAAAATTGATGAGTTTTTTATATTGAGATTAAAATTGATTAATTTTAATTATATTTGGACCAAAATTAATTTTTTTTCTTTTTATTTTAATTTATTATATAATATATAATTAAAATAAATTTAAAACATATATTTAAATATTTTTATTGTAATAAATATATTTACTATAAATATTATTGTGTAGACAATAAAATTTTATAAAATAACTAATTAAAAATATATAATTAACATAAATTAATTTTTTTTTTAAAAAAGATTTATTTGATTGTAATTTAAAATTGATTTAAAATAAATTATCGATTCAAATTTTTATTTAAACAATATTTTGTGAAAAAATAATATATTTTTATTAAAAAATAATAATATCGATTTAGATTTGAAATGATAAAAGAATAAATTCAATTTTTTTAATATATGAATATATTATTTATTAAAAAAATATAAAGACAAAAATATTAAAAATGAACCCACTATAAAAGATATTTGGAGAAAAAAAAAAAAGAAAAATTGTTAGCACAGTACAAACCATGAACAAAAGGCTAACCAAACATTACCTAGGCGCATTGTTTGAAAATTTTATTACCGTTGAGTAATCTATACGTAGTTGTGAATTTTCATTTAAATTGGCTAAACAATACAACAATGTCTGTTTACTCGTAGGGATTTTACCTGATTTTAGTATTTCAACTTATTTTTCATTTCAAAAATATCAAATCAAACGCCTATTATTTTATTTATTATATTATAAAAAAATTTCATTTTACATTCAAAATATCACATCAATAAATATTTATATCACATCAAATAACTATTTTATTATTTAAAACCAGAACCCAAAATCAAAATTTTACAAGTAAATACACCAGAGTCTGGTAATGGGTAATGTGCTAAATTTGGAAAATTCAAAACTTTGCAACACCCATATTATATACAAAAATAAATAACACATTATTATTATATACTAAAATCAATTGTTGTGTATTGTATATAATTGTAGCATATACTATTAATTCAGTGTTGTAGCCGTCGCATTTTATTGAAACATATATATAATCAAATGCAAATGCAAATGCAAGTATAAACATGGCTAAAGGAGGGCTGGCGCCATACCTATATAGTATTGTTTGAAGTCTTCGTGAGCCTCGGCCATTAAATCTCTGTCTTCACCGAACTCGTCGCGATACGCTTCTGGAACCTTCCTCTTCCTCCGGGAAGTCGCCCAGTACATTTTCTTTCTCCATTCTTCCACAGGCGGCAACCCGCTCTGGGCGCCCAACCAGTCGTCGTACTCAAACTATAAGCACAAAAAATTAAGTTGATCGTTGCGAAAAACAGCATATAATGGAAAATGCAATGTGACGTCAAAAGTTTGAAAGTATTCACATTGTACGCAAAAATAAGGATGCTATTACCTGCTCGGTGTCTAGTCGATGAGTATACCTCTTTGGGATTCCGGATGCTTCCATTGATGCGTAAAGGGCTTCGACATCGCTCATCATTTCTGTTGTCGATGGGAGAGGAATTCGACCTGATAAAATGCCGGCGATCCAATTGCACTGAAACTCGAATAATGGAAATGGAACAACCTAGAAGATGAAAAGAAAAAAGAACTTGAGCAATAGTCAATTTATTATTGAATAAAGGGTAAACTAATTTTTTTTTAGCATGGATCCCTTTATCATTTTAATCTCGTAACTAAGTCTGTCGCAAACTAGTCTCGTTAGTGAAAAATTTTCGCACTTTTAGTCATTGGCGCCGGAGATGCCTACATGGGACTCACATGGCTCGTCGGAGAATATGTGTCCTTAGATTTTTTAAATTTTTTTAAAAAATTTAATTTATTTATTGTCTTTTTTAGAAAAAATTCGAAAATTAAAATATAAAAAAAATAAAAAATCTACTTATCGGCCAAGTATCGCAGACTTGGCCGACATGTGTCTTCAGGCGAGCTACGTGGATGCTACGTAGGCATTCCGGCGAGGACTAAAATTGCAAAAAGATTTCACTTACGGGACTACTTTGCGACAGATTCCAATAACGGGACTAAAACGATAAAGGAATCTAGTTTCGAGATTTAAAAAATCAGGGTACCCTTGAATAAATTGTGTGCAACGAGAGAAAGAATCGCCCAAAATAATAGCCAGACTGACCTTCCACAGCAAGCCAACGAATGACAGCCATGGAGCCAAGGTTGGAGGGAAAACGTGCTTATAAAGAGGACCGACTCGATTATCCTCCACGTTCACAATGCCGTCGGTTTTCAGAAATGGGAAGTGATATTTATACCTGCAAAGAGGAGGGTGAACTAATTAAACAGTGCTTTCCCGAACAAATATTTTGGAATATTCGACGCTCACCCGATGCAATGAATGATAACATCAGCACCGACTTCAGTTTGATCATTGAAAGCCACTGTACCATCTCTGTGAACACTTTTGATCTGGCGATGTTGTTGAATGATCATTACCATGATAATTACGAAATGATGCGGGGTTGAAATTTGAACAGTTGTGTTTTACCATCGAATGCAACCAAATGTTGTCATGGCCAGACAATTTTCCGAGGCGAGCAATTTCGACTGATCTTGATGAAATATGAACTTCTTTGGCAACTTTAGAAATATCTCTAGAGATATCGTCGGAACTTGCAGCACCGCCAATTATCACCACAATCTGCGACAATAAAACCGAACGAATGTAAATACAGCTGAAATCTCGTGCACAAAATTACATTTTGTCCTGTTTCGTAATCAAGATACAAACCTATAAAGTAACTTGCACTATTCTTACTCCCCCGCGATTTTCACATTACATACATGAAAAATTAGATATGTAAGTAACATGATTGTGTCTGTTGAAATATCACTTTATGCGCACGCCAAAAGTAATAACAACATGCGTTGCAAGATTTTACAGAAACATACTTGATTGCGAAAGGGATCAGGAACACGATAGTTGTGGCTATGGATCTGCTTCCCCGGCCAGACATCAATTCCTAAAGGCAGTAGGATAACACTTCAGAAAGATCAATAATTAACGAGCGTTATCCGAATCCCAACTTCTTGATCGAAAAAACCAGAAGAGACAGTGCTTTCGAAGAAATACACAATAAGCAGATGATAATCGACGAATCCAAACAAGATAGAGTAGGCAACATAGAAAACTCGACAGCATATGGTTATTTATATATTAGATAATATGATCAAAGACATGAAATCAACCATAAAATTTTAACATTGAATTGTATAGAACAACATACCCGGCAGTTCGGCAACTCGGGGCTCTGTATAATGGCCATTGCAGATCACCACAGCATCATAGACCTCACTATCATCATCCCCGCCATCATCTCGAATTCTTGATCTCACAATCCATTTACGATCTTCAACCAACTCCACGTGCCAAACCTCTCGCCCGAATCTCACCAAATCACCGAGTCCAAACACTTGGGAAAAATCTTTCAAATACTCCAACACCTCTTCGTGGCCCGGGAACCGCCTCGAGTCTCTCCCTGGTTTCTTGCTGGCCATGAAGGGGTACTGGCGGAAACCCATCACTTCCCGGGGCAGATTGGTGCGGAGTGAGGCGTAGAGACTTGTGTGGACTAGCTTACGGGCAGGGTGGAGGCTCATTGGGTCGGACTCTGTTTCTGGTGTGTACACCCAGGTCCCCCCAATCTGATCTTCCCTCTCGTAAACGACGACTTGGTGTCCTTCTTTGCGAAGTTCAAGGGCGGCACAGAGGCCGGCGGCACCGGCGCCTATGACGGCAACTGATCGTGAGACAGGCGACGGCATAGTGGAGACAGGGATTTGGATTGGGGTGGGCATTTTTTCGGCTTAGATGGCAAATTCAATGGATTGAATACGAATCGAATTATCGGACAAAAAGCTTCCTAATTTCAAAAGCAGGTGGTTCCAGTTCCTGTCAATAGCATTATCAACACACTTCATGAATTTTGTACTTAATTCATTAATGGTAGACTATCATATCAATGTAGATGACGACTTCTAAACAACAAAATCAAATACAAAGAACAAAGAACAAAGCAAAATCCATCTAGCCAAATGAAAATAGCCTGCATATAATAATAAGAGATAAACTCAAAAAACAACTAACAATCAATCAACTCTTCTAGTTCTAAAATTAATTCCCAAAACAGAAATGCATAAACAGCATAGTATCCCAACTTGATGCCCAAAATTAAGTAATATCTGAAAGCAGTTACCAATCTAATCAGAACCTAAACCAAATTCTATTCGATTTGTTTCAATGGGAAATAGAAATGTTTCAGATACCTTAATCACTCACACAGTCACTCACCCACAAAAGGATTTTGATTCCTAAGTTTTCTAAATCATTTTAAAAGGTACATTTCAATTACCTCACAGCATCCATGAATCATGGAAATCATTCCGATTCTCATATTCCAATTCTCATTGCAAACATCACTAAGTTCGAATATCCTCTATCAGTTGCTAAAATAAAATCACAACTAACCATAAGAATTTCAGCAACATCTGAACAAATCCTAGATTGCCCGATGAGATAGAACTTACAGAGAGTGTCACCAATAATCTTATCCAAAATCTAATTAAGCCGCAGTGCTCACACAACAAACAATGACTCCAAGCAAAATGAATTTAGGGCGAACTACCAGTTGCTTGCAAAACAATTTACAATCCGACTAACCTGTAAATTGAACGGAAACCTGAAAATTCTAGTCATGACATAGACGGAAACGGTTGCTGTAACATGAATTTGTATGCGGAAGATTGGAATTAGGATTGGCAATGGGAAGAAGGGAAGGGCGCGAATGCCCAATTGAAGTGTCTTTGTGGATTTGTGGTGCTGACCAACAATGGTGGGCGTGTTGGTTTTTGAGATGATTATTATTTATGGTTTCTTTTAAGAAAAATAAAAAATAAAAAATAATATATATATAGGTTATTTTTATCTTATTTAAAATATACTATCTCCTTGGTCTATATGAGAGTCCTAATTAGTTTTTTTATCTTATAATAATATGTTTATAATTTAGATAAAAAAAAAGATAAATTATATAATACTATTTGTTTTTTTTAGTAAAAATAAATAAAATATTTTTTTTATTATGTGAAATTCATTTGTGTTAATATAAAATTTGAACAAAATATTTTTTTCATTTGAAATTGATATTTGATTGTAAATATTAATTTAATAATATATGTTTTATACAAATGAAAGAAATATAATATTTTAACTAATTTTTTTAATAAAAGAAATAAATAAATAATTGATTAACTCTTCATTTTGTAATTTTTTTTAGACGAATTGTTATTTAATTTTTACAAAACTATAAAAATAAATGATTGATCAATTATTTATTTATTTCTTTTATTCAAAAAATTACTCCCTCCGTCTCAAAACAATATGGACATTTGGAATGAGTAGAGAATTAAGGAATAATAGTATTACATAGTGTAAAATTGTTTCTAAAAGATTAAAATGCTCATACTTCATGTAATTATTGGAAAAATATATGGATACTTTTGAAAAAAAAAAAAAGAGAAGTTGGTTACTAAAAATAAAAATGAAACTATTGTTTTTAAATGAACGAAAATAACAAAATGTAACTATTGATTTTGGACGAATGGAGTGTTTAGAATATTTTAAATTTTTTATTTATATAAAATTTGTTTAATTTAGATCTTTATTTAGAATCAAACATCAATTTTAAAAAAAAAATATATATTTTTTGTAAATTTTATATTAATAAAATAAATTTTACACAATAAATAAAATATAAAATATTTAATACAATTTTTTTTTTTTTTTTTGTAAAAGAGATGAGGATATTATATAATTAAAAAAAATTATTACATACAATTACACATAATAACTTATTAATAAAATAAAAAAATAAAAAATCTAAATTTCTAATAGACTTCCGCTAACCAAAATATTATTATAAATATCTTTTAATTTAATACAAAATAAAATAAAAAATAAAAAATAAAAAATAAAAAATTGGTATAAAGTAGGACTTACGGAGTATAAGATATATATATATATATTTATTTATTTAAAAACTGAATAATTCTGGTATGATCGAGAAGATTCTGGGAGAACCGAAAGCGTTTTCTCAGAATCTCATGAAAGCACGAGAAGCATCTCTTCATCTCTATAAACAGACAGCCCTTCTTCTTCTTCTTCCCCAATTCATCACCAAATCAAATCTCCACAACTCCTCATAACTCAAGCTCCGCTTAGTGATTACAATCAATTTTCCGCAGAAGAAATGTCTTTGATTCCGAGTTTCTTCGGCAACCGCCGCAGCAACGTCTTCGATCCGTTTTCCCTGGATGTTTGGGATCCATTCGAAGGATTTCCTTTCAACGCCGTCGCAAACGCTCCTTCCTCCGAGGCGACCGCCATCGCCGGCGCTCGGATCGACTGGAAGGAGACGCCGGAAGCTCATGTGTTCAAGGTCGATGTTCCTGGATTGAAGAGGGAGGAGGTGAAGGTGGAGGTGGAGGACGGCGCGATTTTGCAAATTAGCGGTGAGAGAAGCAAGGAGAAGGAGGAGAAGAACGATAAATGGCACCGTGTTGAGAGAAGCAGCGGCAAGTTTCTCCGGCGGTTCAGGCTGCCGGAAAATGTGAAAATGGATCAGGTGAAGGCGGCGATGGAGAACGGAGTTCTGACGGTGACCGTACCTAAGGAGGAAGTGAAGAAGACGGAGGTGAAAGCTGTTGATATCTCAGGTTAAATCCTGACCGTTCATTTTTCATCCGCTGAATGAGTGTATATGATGATTATGCACATATGCATCAGTAATAAATAAATAAATATGAACTGTTGAGTAATATGTAAATTTTTATTGACAATAATTGTACTATACAAGCATTGATCAGTATCATGGTGTAAAACAAACAAATAAATAAAATAAAATAAATGATATTCTTCTGTCTCAAATATTGTCCAATTTTTGAGTTTTACACGAAGAATTTAGGTAAAAAAATATTAAATATGATAATTTGAAATAAATATGATAATTTAAAATAATTTAAATATTAAGTGATATGATTAAAAAAATTATTTTTTTTATTTAAATAATATAATGAGATAAAAGTAAAATATATATTAATATATATATATAAATATTATTAATTATTTTTTAATTTAAAAATATTGCATAAAAAGTATATATATATTATAAGATGTTTGAGATGGAGAGAATATTATATACTGTATCTTTCATATATGAAGTACAGATAAAATTTATATTAAAAATTACGTAAAATGTAAAATACATAAGGAGACTATATGACAGAGAAAACAAAGTGGCTACGGTTCCACGTCATTGAAAAACCAAAGTATATATATATTTCATATTAATTGCTTTTAAATTTGTTTTAATTTTAATTTGACACTATTTAATTTAAATAAAGTATCGAGTAAAAATTATTTTTGTTTCATTCAATATTATAATTGTCAATTTTAGTTTCATTAAAAAAAATTATTAATTTTGGTTTCATTTAAATGAAAATTTATCAATTTTAGTCATAAGATGGTTGATTGGGATTGAACACGGCCGTGTTGGCTTGAATACAGCCGTGTTGGATGACTCAGAAGGTGACAGGGCGTCCCTGGCAGCCAACACGGTCGTATTGAGTATTGGTCTCAACACGGCCGTGTTGATTACCCTGCACGTCTGAACACGGCGGTGTTCCTGCCTGTGTTCTCAACACAGTCATGTTTCTGCCCATGTTGTTCGTGTTCATGTTCATGCTCATGTTCTCAATACAGTCATGTTCTAGGTCACCCATGTTTTCAATATAGTCATGTTCTAGGTCATGTTCACGACCATGTTTTCAATATAATCATATTGTAATTCATATTTATTATTATTTTTATTTTTTTGTTAAAATTATTTGATATATATTTATAATTCAATAAAAATATTTTTTACAATTATTTTATAATATAAAAATAATCAATTTTTAATATTTTAAAAATATATAAAAATAATAATATATTAATATATATTTTTAATAATACTCCCTCCGTCCCACTTACCATGTCCACATTGTTGTTTTTTTCCGTCCCACGTCACATGTCACTTTCTTTTTTTTTTGAAAAATAATTACACACTATTTTTTAATTTAATTTTTTAAAATTAAAGTGGGTTATCTTAATCTTAATTTATAATTATTTATATTATATGATAATTATTTTCACTAATACATTCTTAATTATCTACTATTTATACTTATCCTAAATTCTCGTGTCTACAGTTGACTCAGATACGTTTGAGAGAGGGAGTATTATTTTAAAACAATATTTTGAATAATAAATTTAATTTATAATTTATAAAAATAATTATTTTAAAATAATATTTTGAAATTTTTACTATAAATTTTTAAATATATATAATGATGATTATATATATTAATATATTATTATTTTTTATATATTTTTAAAATATTAAAGTTGATTATTTTTTATATCATAAAATAATTGTAAAAAATATTGTTTTTGAATTATAAATATATATACCAAATAATTTTAACCAAAAAGTGAAAATAATAATAAATATGACCTACAATATGATTATATTGAAAATATGGTTGTGAACATAGCCTAAAACATGACTGTGTTGAGAACATGTGCAGAAACATGGGCAGGAACATGGTTGTGTTGAGAACACGGGCAGGAACACGGCCGTGTTCAGAAGTGCAGGGTAATCAACACGGCCGTGTTGAGACCAACACTCAACACGGCCGTGTTGGCTGCCTGAGACGCCCTGTCACCTTCCGAGTCATCCAACACGGCCGTGTTCAGTCCCAGTCAATTATTTTGGGACTAAAATTGATAAATTTTCATTTGAGTTGGACCAAAATTGATAAATTTTTTTTAGTGGGACCAAAATTGATAATTAAGATATTGAATGGAATCAAAAATAATTTTTACTCTAAAGTATCATATCAAATTTTTAAAAGTAAAAAGAAAAAAAAAATCTCCAAAAATTTTTATCTAAACAAAAATACTAATTATAAATTTAAAAGAAAAAACGAATATCTTTTACTTTGACAAGCAAAAAATTATTCGGATGGACCTGGCATACTATGTGTAATTGATTCCTACTGTAATACCAAAAACATGGTTCAAATTTACCCAATACACACTTTCGAGTAGCCGCTGCGGATTCTCACGTCATACAAAAAAAAAAAAAAAAAAAAAAAAAAAAAAAAAAATGCATGTAAAAATAATATGGTTCCTATTGTAATACCAAAAACATGTGTAAAAAAAAAAATAGTTTGTCTAATGTGATTTGTCTGTCGGATTTAGTTTGTAGGGTATTAGGTTCCGCTGGGGATTTACCTAGTGCGCACTTTTTGTAGCGACTGCAGGTTTCTACGTCATAAAAATAATAATAATAGTTTATCTAGTGTGATTTGTCAATCGAATCTAGTTTGCAGGATATTAAATTTCGTTAAAAATTTACTTAGTGCGCACTTTCGTAGCGACTTTGGATTATCACGTCATTAACAAAAAAAAAAAAAACCATGTAAATAGTTGCCTCAATTATTTGTCCTCGTCTCATTTACCTTTATATAATTGTTCAAATAATGCATGTTCACACTAATTTGGACACAAGGGCATTTGGATCGGCTTTTACCTTCTAAAAAAGTTATTTTTATTTGTACTAGTTTTTGCTCAAAATAGAAATAACTTTTAATTTAAAAAAATGTTTTTTAGAAGTACTTGGAGTATGAAATGAACAGTTAAAGTTTTTATTTGGATAAAATATTATAAAAACAAATTTTTAAAAAAAATTGTTGTAAAATTAAGAGTGTATTTAAACTGTTAAAAATTACTAAATAGGATATAATTATGTAAATATATTTTTTTATTATACTTTTCTAAGTTAATTTCAAATTTTATAAATTATATTTAAAAATTTTACATTATCCATCTTAATTGAAAATATATTTATTAAATTTTATGAATAAATTGTATTTTTATATTTAATTTTTAAAAAATTAAAATTAAAAATATAATTAACTTTAAGTAAATTTTAAATTACTCTACAAATTATTTTAAAACTTTATAAATTATATTTAAAAATACCAAATTACTTACTACATAATTAAAATTATATTGTTAAAAGTTAATCTCTCAATTATATCTTTTAAAATTTAATTTATATAATGTATAAATTAATAATTAAAATACAATATTATTATATTATAATTTGAATATAATATATATACTAATCATAGATTATTTCTTTATTATCGTAGATCGATGTAAATCTAAAAAATCCAATCGTTACGACGATGGAGCTTTATTGAATAAAAACGATCGATAACAAGCAAATGAAGGACAAGGAAGGCAAAGCATGGCTAGATAAGGTCCGGCGCTGCACCGTATTGCTCGAAGTCCTTGTGAGCCTCGTCGATCAAATCTTGGTCGCCAAAGTAATGGTCGCGAAACATCTCCGGCATCTTCCTCCTTTGCGTACTCACCAAATACATTTGCTCTCTCCATTTTTCCACCGGCGGCGATCCACTCTCGGAAGCCAACCAATTGTTGTACTCGAACTAAATAGCAAGAAATGCACGCATCAATTGAATTGATCATGTTAAATGACTATCTTACCTAAAAATTTATGTTAATAAAAATATAGTTTTTTTTGGGATTAAATGTTGAAATATGGACCATTAATTATACTTCCTCCGTCTACAAGTAAGCTTCTCTCATTTGACTTTTGTACGCGAATTAAGATAAATTAGTATTTACAAATACATAGTGCAATAAAATAATGTAATATTCATTTTACCTTTGAAATATAATGTGAAAAGTAAAATGTAGAGGTATTTAGTTTATAATTACTTTTTAAAAAAGAAAATGAAAAGTTTTGATTTAGAGAGATTAAAATGACAAATGAAAAGTTTACTGGTGGACAGAATTAGAGGTGTTAACGATCCGAGCCGAGTCAAATTTTAAGTGTTTGTTAATGTTCGCGAACAAGACTCCTGTTCATTTGTTAAGCTTTCGAGCTCGTTCTTAGTGTTCGAGCTTGGCTCGTTAAGAATTTTTATTGTTTAAGCTCGTGTTCGTGTTCGGCTCATTTAGACTCGATTAAGCTCGTTTGAGCTCGTTTGTCTTATTTTTTAAAATTTATTGTATAAATTATATAGAAAATTTAAAATTATTTTATTTATATATTTTAAATTAATATTTTATTTATTTATATATTATAATTTTATATGTATATATAATATTTATAATAAATATATTATTTAAACGAACGCGAATGTTTGCGAACAAAGCTCGGGCTCGTTCGTTAACTAAACGAGTCTGTTTATGTTGTTCGGCTCGGCTCGGCTCGTTAATGTTCGCGAATGAGCTTTAACCAAGCTGAATCGAGTCGAGTTCATGAACGGCTCGATTCGTGTAACAACTCTAGACAGAATGAGTATACTATATAGTCTCGACAGAGGAAAGACTTTGCCTACCTGTTTGGCATCCATTCGATGAGTATACCTCTTCGGAATTCCGGATGCTTCCAATGATGCATAAAAGGCTTCGATTTCGCTCATCATTTCCATTGTCGACGGGAGAGGAATTCGACCAGATAAAACACCAGCGATCCACTTGCATTGAAACTCGTACAACGGGAATGGAACAATCTAGAAAATAAAAAACACTCGAGCGATAAATGAACAAGTTGTAAACCAAGAATTACGACAAAGCGCCGCGTGAAAAAAAAAAAAAAAAAAAAATGCCACGCCGACCTTCCATGGCACGCCAATAAACGATAGCGATGGAGCTAAGGTCGGAGGAAAAATGTGCTTATAAAGATGATCAACTCGATTATCCTCGACTTTGACAACGCCATCGGTTTTAAGAAATGGGAAGTGATACTTATACCTGCAACGAGAAAGGCAAACTAATCGAACAATTTTCCCCGAACCGAGCAAATATTTTCAGACATATTCGTCGCTCTCACCCGGTGCAGTGAATGATAGCATCGGCATAAATTTCAGTTTGATCGTCGAATGCCACTGTACCATCTTCACGAACACTTTTGATCTAGAGATATTGTCGATGATCATCAGATTTTTATCTTTTATTCAAATAATATTTAATACGATATTCTGTCAGAGAAAAATAATTATTTTTTTTTTCAAAAAATATAGAGATAAATAATAAAAATACGTATATAAATTAAAAATGAACGAACTTTCAAAGTTGAAACTAGTCGTTTGGTTTTTTTACCGTGGAATGTTGCCATATGTTGTCATGCCCCGACAATTTTCCAAGTTGATCAATTTCGACTGATCTTGATGAAATATGAACTTCTTTCGCAACTTTCGCAACATCTCTAGAGATATCATCAGAACTTACATGACCACCTATTATCACCACAATCTGCAATAACAAAACCAAAACGATGTAAATACAATTTTCAAATTACATTCGCGAAACATTGCTTTATGCGCGCGCCAAATTAACTAATACAAACATCGGTCGGACTCTACGACCAAAGTATGATAAATTTGGTTAAGTTTAAGAAACATACTTGATTGCGGAAGGGATCACGAACACGGTAATTGTGGCTATGGATCTGCTTCCCCGGCCACACCTCAATTCCTTAAAAATAATGAGTGTTTTTCGAAGCACAATTTTTCGACGAATAAATACACACACAAAAAAAAAAGAGTTCATTCTCTCTTTTGTTTTATTGTGAAGACAAAATGTAGGCCAGTTTTATTATTATTATTATTATTGAAAAAATTGATAAAATTTTCTAGATTTTAATCATTGCATATTAGTATAAAATTTGAATGGAAAATAAATATTATAAATTTTTTAACATAATCTTATATTAATAAAAAAATAAAATAGAAGATGTCGACGGCTTCTCATCTAGTCTTATTTATAAATTTAGGTAAATTTTCTAATCTAATTTTCTTTTAAAAAAATCTCGAATAATGTTGTACCCTATAAAAACAAGTATAATAAAATCTCTAATAAATTTGTTTATTAATAAAAATGAAATAAATAAAATAAATTCGCAATAATTATTTTTGGACAACAAATGTTTGTCTTGTTTTTTGTTATTCGTTTTCAAATTTTGATGTAAAACAGTGATTCGATATACTATTTTATGACAAATAAATATTTAATATAATATTTTCGGAAGAAAGATACTAAAATAAAAGCAAAGCTTAGCTTAGCCAAAATATAGTTTATATTTACTCACTCCATTTTATAATAAGTATATATTTATTTATTTTTTCTGGTTAATAATCTTGTGCTAAAATAATGCGTAAAAATTTGTAAGAGGAATATGAACGGGTCGGGTCGCCTACCGGGTATTTCTGCGATTCGGGGCTCCGTATTATGGCCAACGCAGACCACCACAGCGTCGAACACCTCCCTGTCCACGTCATCATCGCCACCGTCCCTCATTCTCGAACTCACGAGCCATTTCCGAGCCTGATCCCGAACCATCTCCACGCTCCAAACCTCCCTCCCGAACCTGACCAAATCACACAGCCCGAAGGCTCCCGCGAAATCTCTCAAATACTCCAACACCTCAGTGTGGCACGGGTACCTCCTGGCGTCCCTGCCCGCCTTATTCCGGGCAGCCACGAAAGGGTACTGCCGGAATCCCATGGCTTCCCGGGGCAGGTTGGTCCGGAGCGAGGCGTAGAGGCTTGAGTGGACTATTTTACGGGCCGGGTCGAGGCTCATCGGGTCGGAGTCTGCTTCGGGTGTGTACACCCAGAGCCCCCCAATCTGGTCCCCCCTCTCGTACACCACCACTTTGTGCCCTTCTTTGCGGAGCTCCAGGGCCGCGCAGAGCCCGCCGGCGCCGGCGCCGATCACGGCCACCGATCGGGACTCCGGCGACGTCGCAGTGGAGATCGCCGACGGCATTTTCTTCTGCAGCCTTGGATTGAAGAAGATTCGAAGCTTTAATTTAATTTGTTACTATTATTTATTTGAAATGAAAACAATAACGATGCATTGTTGTATGTATTGACTTTTTTAAATTAATAATAAAATATAAAATAATAATAAAATACGTAGTTATCATTAACTAATCAGCAATTCACCAGATGATATACATCATAAGATAACTAATTAATATAATTAAATAGAACGTAAACCTTGAAGATTTTAGTATGCTAGCTGTGGTGGTGATAGTTCAGTCATATATGGAGTCGATGGGAAATGGCTTATATATATATAGGCGAGATATCATATCATACCTAGCCACATAGCAAAAATAAAAAATAGGTTCTATAAAATTAAAATATATTTTCTCTGGCTCAATTAAAAGTAATTTTTTTACTATTTTCGTTTGTCTAGTTCCAAAGTATTTATTTTTTATTTTAGTAAAAATAATCATACACCAATACCAAGATACTTTTTAATTTTTACCTAAATTGCAAGCATACCGTTACACATATAATTATTTTTTACATAAAGGGCAAAAATTTCAAAACTTCTTACACATTTCCACTAATTAATAAAATACTATTATTTCTTAATCTATTACAAAACTCCAAATAGTCCATTTGGACCGAGACGGAGGGAGTACTATTTTTTAAAATTTCTACTCCCTCCGTCACAAAACAATAGGGACATTTGGAATTACTACGAGAATTAAAGAATAATAGTATTATATCAATAGTTGATATAAAAGTGTTTCTAAAAGACCAGAATGTCTCTACTTTATGCAATTATTGTGAAAAAATGGGGATAATTTTGTAAAAATTAGGGAATTGGTTACTAAAAATGAAAATGAGACTATTATTTTTAGATAAAAAAAAAAAGAAATAACATAATGAAATTATTGTTGTAGGGCGGATGAAGTATTTTAAATTTTAAATATAATACTCTCTCTGTCCCAATATAATAGTCTTATCTACCATTTTTGTCCATCCCAAAATAATAGTCTCATTTACATAAATAACCATATCACCATAAAAGTATCCTTATTTTTTCATTATTATTACACAATTGCCACTACTTTTTACACTAATATATTCACAAGGGCAAAAAAATCATTAATCCTTACTTTCTACTGGTTACCAATATAATATCAATATTTTTTAAATTTCGTGCCCAACACAATAAGACTATATTTTTGGGACGATGAAGTATTATATTAGAAATTATAATATATTTTTACAAACAATAAAATTACAATACTAAAAAGTAAATGTAAAAATAAAAAAATTGCTAATTTAAAGTACTCCCTCCGTCCCAAAGTAAATATCAATTTGTTTTTTGCTAGTAGTTTTAGAAATAGGAATAAAGTATAAATGACTAAAATAATCTTATTAGTATGTGTGATATAAATGTAATGACATTTGTATAATATATTGTAAGTTGTGAGGGTATTTGTAATGCTAAGTCGATAGTACAGTTACTAAAAAAAATACTTTGTTATGGGACGGACTAAAATAAAAAAATTGATACTTTGTAATGGAACAGAAAGAATATATATTAATAGACCCCACAAATTAAGGATTTTGTACCACCATTCATGGAGCACGTGCTAATAACCGCCTCAATATGATATCATATTGTGCATGTGATTGTGATGCGGATGAAGTTGAGAATTAATTTATGTCTTTTATGGGAATTATAAATAAAATTATAATTATAATGAAGGGCAGCAATAATTTAATTTGGGTGGCGGGATAGTACAAATTAGAAGATGGGTTTTTGAATTTTGAATTGTAATATTGCATGTGGATTGGATGGGCAATAAGGGGGTACGGATGTACGGACGCAGTTATTGCTACTGTAATTGGAGTGGATGAAAAAGGACGTGTTTGGTTGGATTTTAAGAAAAGACAGGAAATTCCCTCGTCGTCCCGACAGGATGTTGGAGGTTATAATCACCGACGAAACTAGCATCAAAACTTTGGAGGGACAAAATAATATTCCCTTTTATACATATAATTTATTTTTATTTTCTAATTTCGTCTGTCCAACTTAATTTGTTTTTTTTTTTTTAAAATAAAATTAATTATATATTTTAATTATATTTTAAAATTTTAATATTAATTAAATTATTTAATTATTTTAATTTTAATTTATAATTATTTTTACTAATATATTTCTTAATTACTTACTAATTATACTTTACCTAAATTCTCGTATCTACAGTAATTAATAGTTTCATATTATTTAGGACGGAGAAAGTATAATTTATTTAATATTTAATTAATAAATTTAGATAAAAAATAATGACCGAATTATATATAAATTTAAATTATTTTGAGAGGGGGCAAATAGTATATAAGTACATAAAAATTAATATTTTTAACACTAAAAAAATTATAAAAATATGGGTTTGGGGGGCCTAGTGTAGTTCCGGCCCCAGTTATAATCATGCTAAACTAAGAATGCAATTATCAACCAAACACTATACTAACTCAGCCACCTTTTTTTTCTTACACTAGAATGAGTTGAATTTACATTATAAATTTCCACTAATTTTATACTATTTATTTCTTAAAAAATATTACATTAAACGCATTTTTTTTCACAAAATATTAAATACTCCCTCAGTTCCGGTCTAAAAGGATCATTTGGAATTTATTGTAAATTAAGAAATAATAGTATTTTATCCATTAGTGGAAGTGTGTAAGATATTTTGACATTTTTACTCTTTGACTTTATATAAAAGGTAATTGTTATGTAATGATATATTTGTAATTTAGGTAAAAATTAAGAGTATTTTGATATTGATGTATAATTATTTTTACTAAAATAAAAAACAAATACTTTGGATTGAGACAAACGAAAATGATAATGAGATACTTTGAGTAGTAGCTGAGATAGTAAAATACTAATTTTTTACTTTTTCCAAAATTGCAAAATTTCCAAAAACCGCCAAAAATCTCTATCTAAACAAGAGGTGTATGTAGTGATTATGTAGGCTTTGCTTACTTTGTGGTATTTTATCCATAATTTTACTATTTCAATTTTTTTCTTCTAAAAATATCAATTCAAATATCAATTATTTATTTATTTTATTATACTAAAAATAAATTTTACATTTAAAATATCGCATCAATACATAATTATATCAGATCAAATAATTATTTTAATTCAAACATTTATTATTCAAAACCAAAACAAAAAATCATAATCTTACAAGTAAACACACCCGAAACAATTTAAGGATAAACTTATAAATTAGTACTACCTCTGTCCACTGTCAATCTATCCGTTTACTTTTTGCATGATAATATTTGAATATTAAATATTATATCAAAACATAGTACAAATCAAGAAAAAAAGATAAAAATATTTATATCAGTGTTTTATAATACTAATATAATGATATTTGTATAAAAAATTATAGAAATATAAAGATATTTTTACTGTTAAATAAATAAATTCATGGTGGACGGAGGTACAATTTGAATTTTTTTTTGGTTGTTGGAGTTGTACTTGCTTAATATTAGGCACCTTTGTCTTTTTCCGACATTAATGGTTGATCTGTCCTTTTTGGGGACATCATATATATATATATATATATAAAACAAACAAACCTCAACTACTCTGTCCAAATAATCGACCCTCCTATATTAATGATTCATGTACTTGGTCAAATAAAGAACAACAAACCCTTGTCCCAAATCAACAACGGTAATATATAGCATCACGGTTTGTGTGACCCGTGACTGTAGTCACAAGCAATTTTAAAAATATTTCAAAAATTAATACTTTTTTGTCCGGCTAGAAAGTATACATATTTTTATTTTGAAATATCCAATTACAAAGTAAACATTTTATTAAATACCTTATTTTTTTTCCACAAACACCCCTACTTTACATCACATCATTACTTTTATACAAAAAAGCAAGGGCAAAAATGCTATTACACTACTTTTAATTACTCACTATAATTAAAATACTATTATTTCTTAAACACCGCGCCAAAAGTAATTGTATACTTTTTTTGTGGACAGAGGGAGTATTAATATTCTTTCTCGTCCCACTTAATTTGTCTATTTTTATTTTTTTTTAATCTTGTATAATTTTTCATTTTTTTTTGAAATATAATTATACACTTGAATCACATTTTAAAATTTATAATTTATACTCTCTTCGTTCCAATACAAAAGTCATGTTTACCCTTTTTGTTCATCCCAAGCAATAGTCTCATTTCCATAATAACAATATCATTATAAAATTATTCTTACTTTTTCATTATTATTACACGATTGTCACTACTTTTTATACTAATACACTCACAAGGACAAAAAAGTCTTTTATCTGTACTGTTTACCAATTATTCCTTAAATCTCGTGCCAAACACAACCCAGACTATAGTTTTGGGACAGAGGGAGTAATTTTTTTATTTAAATTAAACTATTTAGTCATCTTAATATTAACCTATAATGATTTTTATTAAATTGTAATTATTTTTACTAATATATTTTTTAATTATTTACTAATTACACAATACTTAAAACTCTGCCTAAGCTAAATGAGACAAATTAACTGAGAATGAGAAAGTAATAAACTAGGTATATTTTGATGAGATATTTTTTTAATAAAACAAATCACTTTTTATAAATAGTACTCATTTTGTCCCACCTATTATGTCCACATTGTCGTTTCTTTATGTTCGTCTCACATTTGTTACTTTCTTATTTTCGAAAATGATTACACACTTTAATTTCATTTTAAATTTTTTAATTTTAATTAGACTAATTTAGTTATCTTAATCTTAATTTATAATTATTTATATTATAATATAATTATTTTCATTAATACATTTTTAATTATTTATTAATTATAATTATTATAAATTATCGTGTCTACAATAATTCGAACATGATAGCAAGGACGGGTGGAGTAAAAGATTTCCAAAATTATTGTATTCCCTCGATCAAATATAATAGATATATTTCATTTGTGATACGATAAATTAATGTTAGTAATTTATGATATTAATTTATTTATTTTATTTGAATAGTGATGATATTTTAAAAATAAAAATTAATATATGATTAATTTGTTAAAAATATATATTTTAAATATTTTAAATCATATATAAAAATATAATCTCTCCTCCGCCTACAAGAATTATATATATATATTTTGTGTCATTATACTTAATATTAAAATATCCTTATATATGTATAATTTTTTATACAAATATTATTATATTAGTATTATAAAACATTAATATAAGTATTTTTGCTATTTTCCTTTAATTTATCCTATATTTCGATATAATAATTAATAATTTTTCGGTCCCACATAATTTTTCTCTATTTTTTATTTTTATCCATCCTACGTAATTTTTTTCTTATTTTTTATTTTCATCATTCCTACATATTTTGTTTTAAAATATAATTATATGCTTTAATAACATTTTAAATTTTATAAAAAATTTTAATCTTAATTGGATTATTTTGAGTGGAGTTCAGTCTATTATACTCCCACTGGAGCATATAAAGTTCCAGCATTTTTTTTTTTTATCTTCGTCCGTCAAATGTAATTTGTTATTTTCTGAAAATATGATTATACATTTTAATTATATATTTTAAATTTTATAATTTATAATTTTTTTAATATTAATTAAATTATTTAACTATTTTAATTTTAATTTATAATTATTTTTATTATATAATTATTATTTTTACCAATATATATTTTTCTAAATATACTAATTATAATTTACATAAACATGGTTGTAGCATCAACCAGAAGTGGTCATAGAAGAGGAGAATATAATAAAAAAGATAAAATAAAAATAGAAACAAAAGGAAAGAGAAAAAAGAGAAAACAATGAAGAAGATGACAAGAAAAGTCGAAAAAGGGAGGAAGAGAAGGCAGGGTAGGATTGTAATTTTAAATGAGAGTTTAAGTTTATAGAATATTATTTTTATATTAATTATAATTAAATTATTAATTATAAAAATTATTATTATTATTATTATTATTATTATTATTATTATTTCTGACTCCTTATTTTTCTCCCCCTTTTGCATAATCATTTTGGATTCCAATTTTAGTTTCTATAACTTTGTTTACTCCCTTCGTCCTATTGAAAGGTTACAATTTTTCATTTTCGTCCCAAAATAAGATTACAATTTTCTAATTTAGTAATTGTCCTATCTACTTCACATAATAAATACCCTTTCAACTTACAATATATTACACAAATGTTATTACTTTTATATTACACCATACCAATAGGGGTATTTTTATCTTTTTTTACTACAATACAATATAATACTAATATTAAAAAATTTACGTGCAAAAAGCAAACGCCACCCTTCTTGCCGGACGGAAGGAGTATTTTATTTTATTTTTTATTTAATGTTTTCATCTTTTAATCTCAATTAAAGTATTTTACATTTTTTTAAAAAAATTTTAACTTATGTATTTTAGAACATTTATTTTACATTGGTCCATAGTATGACATTGAAACTAAATAATAATTTATCTGTTCGGATTAATTATGCCTTCGCTTAGATACATAAATTAAGAAATTAGAATTCTTTAATGTAAAAGTAGGATATGTAAAAAATAAAACAGATATATTATAGGAATTAAATTTATTAAAGAATAGATAAAAATATTATTACCTAACTGTTTTTTACATAATTGTCACTACTTTTTACACTAATATATTCACAAGGGCAAAAAAGTTATTTTTTTTTTTACTTTTTACCAACTACCAATATTCCTTAAATCCCGTGCCCAACACAATAAGACTATACTTTTGGGACGAAGGGAGTATATAGTTATTTATAATTAACTTAAAACCAATTTTATAAAAAAATAAGAAGTTTTAAATATAGATAAAAATATTTGTTTATTGAAAATAGATAGAAATAAAAGAGTTTTGAGTTGCCCTACCCGTAAGAAGTTCAAAATTTAATTTAATTGATTTATATTTGTTAAGTATATTTAAGATAATAAATTCACTAAAAATAAAAATCGGAAAAAAAAAAAGAAAAAATGGATCATTTATACTGGGATGAAGGGAGTACTCCCTATGTTATTCAAATTTATTTTTATTTTCTTTTTGTTTTTTTAGTAAAAGAAATAATATTTTTTTAATATATATATATATTTTTTCAAGTATTTTAAAGTAAAAATTTATATATTTACATATTTTTCTTAATTCTTGTGGTAGGTCAAATGACAACAAAATCGAATGACTGAGAGAGTATATTATTATTGATCTAGAAATCGATTCCAGCCTAAAAAGTCTCGATGGGGAAGATCAAAGGTGAGTTCTTACACAATTCGATGCAAATTTATGGTGATATGTACTAAAGACAATGAAAATGATATATCGACAAGTAAAAGGCCGACAAAAGGGTCATAACTATAATGTCTTTTGAAATTGATTATATTGAATAAAAAGTTACAAGAAGAAACAAAGAAAAATGATAAAGATACGAATTTTGCAGATTTTTGGATGATCCGATGTTGTCTTCCTCACGGTTGATGCTCCTTTATGTTCCTAGGCCTTTCATGACATGATCTTGTTGTTTAGAAAAAATAAAATTCGATATCAGTATAATTTATCGAAATAAATTCGATAATTACAATGATTTATCGAAATAAATTCGATAATCACGTCGAGTCGAGACAAAACTTCTCTCCGTAAAAACGAATACGCTTGGTAGTGCCTCCAGTTTGTGGCGCAATGTTTCCAAAGATAAAACGACGTTGTCCTCAGAATTAGGTGGCATCCCAATATTTCAGATATCCGACGAACTAAAATGAGAGGACTAGTACTGTTTTAGGAGGCTTAATATTTAAGGAAGAGCGGAAACTTTGCTGGTTAAAATTTATTGGAATTTAATTATCATTGGTAACGCTCAGTCATAAATATATTATTTGAATTTTTAAATTTTAAATAATCATTTATTACATATACATGTAATTAAAATTTTTGAGTTATATTTTTGTTACACAAAAAGTAACAAAAATATATTTTCTTAGGCTACAACAAAATATTTTGTTGTTTCAATTTGGTTTTGGAACATAATAGACTTCTTCAAATCTAACATTCCCAACTATGACCTTTGAGCCGGAGACAAAACTCATGCTCGTGTACTTGTGTTATTATTTGGTCCGGGCATATGGCACATGGCCTACCGACATTTATATATCTAACCACACTATCAATAACCACCATACAACTCATATGTATTTCAACTCATCGAATAATTGGTATTTCATACCATATTAATTAAAGGATATTAAATAACTATTTTTCTAAAAGTTTAAACTTAAAGAAATACATAATATTTATTTATATATTATAGATGTCAATTTACATATTAAATATTACTCCCTCCCTCCGTCCCCGTTATCATACATGTTTTACTATAGATTAAAAATATATAAGTGATAATAATTATCATATAATAAAAATAATATAGATTAAGATTAAGAGTTTAATTAAAATTAAAATTTAAAATAAAATTATAATGTATAATTTTTTTTCAAAAAAATGACAAAATAAGTGAAATAAAGTAAAATGAAAAGATAAATATAATAAGAGAAACAAAATAATATTTAATTAAAATTTTTATCATTTTTAAAAAATAATATAATATAAATATACAATTAATAAAAATCCCTAAAAAGACAAAAGTAACAACCTTTATCCAATAATAGTAAAATATTAAAATAACATTGATGACTCTAAATTGAAGTAAAAAGACAAAAGTAACAACCTTTATCCAATAATAACAGTTTTTTAAGTGTAATATAAAAAATAAAAATAGGTATTTAATTTTAAGTTGTGATTTGAATAATAAAAAATTTGAATTATAATAGATAGACAGTGATGTGATGTTTCAAATGTAAAATTAATTTTAGTATAATATAAAAAATAAAAAATAGGTATTTAATTTTAACATTTTTTAGAGAAAAAAATTTGATGAATAGTAAAATTTTGGAATTTCTTTCAAACAAACACCTTAAGATGATCATGCTTTTAGTTATCTAATTTAAATAATTTATATTCACAAACATTTTCAAAAAAAAAAAAAAAAAAAAAAAAAAAAACGAAAGTGTCGCAACTACAAGTTCAATAATAAATAATAATAATAATAATAAAGAGAAAATATATTTATATATAATTGATTTATCTCCATTAAAAAAAGTCCCCTTTTTGTGCGGGAAAGATTTCCACCCATTGAATTCAGGGTAGCAAAGTCTGGTTCTCCCTCTCCCTCCATAAACGATCCATTTCCCTTTCATTCCCAAATGCTTTCCCTTTCTCCAGCTTTCCACAGCCCCGCCATCATCTTCAACGTCATCTCATCTGGGGTCCTTCATTACGCTGGAGGACCCTACACCCCCACCCCACCTCCACCATCCCCTCCTCCCTCAAACCTTGTTCCCCGCCCTAATTTGTCTTAATAATCTTTTCTTTTCTTTTCTTTGTGTTTGTGTTTGTTTGATTGATTGATTTCTATCATTGATTGCTCGATTGATTGTTCCAATTTTTAGGGATTAGCTTTTACATGATCATATTTTGTCTTGAGGACAGCCATTTGTGTGTTTGCATTGGTTTCGAGACTCTGATTTTGGGGAGGCTGGAGAAATGAATTGCTTGCCATGTTTCCAGAACAATGACGACGAACAAGAGAGCGCCGACGGGAACGACAACTTGCCGGTAGCTCAGCCTAAAGAAACGCCGGCGTCGTCGGCGTCGCCGCCTCCTCCTGCTGCTGGTATGAATTCCACTCTTAATTTACCATATTTTTCCTTTTTAACGTATCGGATGAAACTTAGGACACTGCAATTACCAATTTGGTTTTATCGATGTTGAGTTGTTGTAGATTGCTTAGGACACGGAATCAATGTCTTTTACATTGGCAGTGCCCTAAATTTTCAGAAAATGCAACGCTGCTTTCCCTTTATTTGCAGCCGAGGATTCGATTTTTTTTTTTTGTGTTGATTGAAGGAATTGTTTATAAACGATTCATCTTCTTCGACGTTTAAGCTTGTAAACCTCTTTTTTCATGTTGGTTGGCAATGGCAATGGCAATGGCAATGGCAATGGCGGTGATGGTGATCTTGTTCTATATAGGTCGATAGGTTTGTCTTGAACACACTAAGAACATTTGCAATGAAAGTGATACAAGAACATCAATCGAAAAAGCCTAGTTCATGTCGATATGTATGTTTTTCTAATGAAATGGATCAGCTGATATGCAGCACTAGTGCCAAGATGATGCGTCGAATTTTGTGTAGTTTAAGTTTATTTGAGGATACTGAAATTGCAGTCTTTCGAAATTATGATTTACTTATCAATACAATGCTTCTACTCTTTAATTTGCAGGAAAAAATGAACCGGAGGAAGATCCATCATTCAATGAGGAAAGTGAAAGAAAAACAAAAAATTTCACTTTCCGCGAGCTTGCCATGGCGACAAGAAACTTCCGGCAAGAATGTTTGCTCGGTGAAGGTGGATTCGGAAGAATATTTAAAGGGACACTCAAAGAAAATGGACAGGTAGAACTAACTGAAACTTCTTCGACTCACATTTTCTTCCCCGATGAGTTTCTTGTCGACAGAACACAGTCTCTATCTATATCTACATCTCACATTTTCTTTTCTTGTTTTTTGTCAAAAGATCGTTGCTGTTAGGCAGCTGGACAGGAACGGAATGCAACAAGGCGGACACGACTTTATTCTAGAAGTCGCAAAGTTGAATATGCTCGAACACAAGAATCTGGTGAATTTGGTCGGGTATTGCGCCGATGGAGATCAGAGGCTTTTGGTGTACGAATACTTGCCATTGGGCTCTCTCAAGACTCATCTATTCGGTAAATTTCATTCGCAGGCCGTCTTTACGACTATATCCATTCTGCAAATGACTAATTGAAAATGGCTGTTATCCATCTTTCTAGAAATTCCCTCTGGAAAAAAGGCGTTGGATTGGTCGACGAGGATGAAAATCGCTTTAGGTGTTGCACAAGGGCTCGAGTACTTGCACGAGACTGCGGATCCACCAATCATATATCGCGACCTAAAGCCTTCGAACATCCTTCTCGCTGAAGACAACACGCCGAAACTATCTGAGTACGGTCTCGCCAATTTGTTGCAATCGGGAGGAAGTAAGACGCATATGCCGAGGGTCATAAGCCATGGCTATTGCGCCCCGGAATACGAAAAAAATGGCGAGCTATCCGCAAAGTCGGATGTTTATAGCTTCGGCGTGATCTTGCTTGAGCTCATTTCCGGTCGCAAAGCTTTGGATCCTTCCAGGCCGACGGAGGAGCAAAATCTAGTCGAATGGGTACATTTGGGCGTTCTTGTTTCCATAATTTTATCAAGTAATTTCATTTTTCTCATTTCGTGTAACGAGTTAAATTCTGGCGACGATCAAACAGGCGCAGCCGTATTTCCGGGATCAGACCAAGTTTGCGGAAATGGCTGATCCGCTTCTTCGAAATGGATTTTCTGCGACGAGTTTGAATCAAGCTGTCGGAGTCACAGCCATGTGTCTGCAAGATGAGCCGATGGCGCGACCTCTGATCAGCGACATTTCAGCTGCGCTTACTTTCCTCGCCATGGCTCCACCGGAAGCGCCAATCCCGGCTCGTCTCGCCCCGATATTATCTGCGAGAGTGAATTCGATCAGCCAGCAGAATGGCTCGCAAAAGATCGCCGTGTCTGCTAGCAGAGTAGAAAGAGCAGAAAGTTCCGACGATTCAGATTCTGATGACGAAGGCAAGAAGAAGCAGAAATCAATGAAGCCGAAATCGAAAAGGCTCGGCTCAAGCGCGAAGCATAAAATTAGCAGCAAGAAGATGAAGAAGAAGGAGGATAAGTCGGTTTCGAAGAAGAGCCGGAGCAGCAGCTTAAGCTCGAGCAATTCGAGGCGTCATGATTCCGATTCTGGTTCAAGTAGCGACGAAGAAGAAGACAAACCTTTGGAAGAAGAAGAAGTAGAGGAGGAAGAAGAAGAAGACGACGAGGAAGAAGAAGAGGAACATAACTCCGATTCTGAATAGACGAAAAATGTGCAGAAAATACAGACGGACGATAACACATTGTGGATTCAGAATACCCGAAAACATCGAATCTTAATGAAAAAAAAAAAGAGAAAACATCGACGGCGACGACGAGGACGGGAGGATGCAAGAGATAGTTCGTTAATGAATACATTGATTAGTTACAACTCAGAAGACTTCATCTTCCTTAATCCTCCACAACATATGGAAACTTGAGGTATACATACATATATATATATATATACATACATTCTTTCATTCTTTCTCGTCGACACCATTATCAAAGGGACAAATCTTCTCTTAGCTCTTTTATTTTATTTTATTTTCTTTTTACTAGAATCACATTACAAAGGAAAAAATGGCCAAAGAACTTCACATCTAGTGTGGTATCAACTTTTGCATCAATTTTATTTTATCACTCACAATATTTACAATGGCCACACATAAAAATGTCCAATGATGAGTTGTTTGTACCCTTCTTTTGTAAATACATTATTTTGTCATAGCATTTCCTCCAATGTTATCAATGGAAACTTGAGGTTATTATTTTTAAATATCGTCACTATAAGAAAAAATCATTTTTGTAACAAAATTCTTTTGTGTCTAAATCTATTTTTTTCTGTTACTAATGATATTAGAAACGGAATTATAAATGAAATTACGTTAGCTACGCGAACTTTAGGGACGAAATTCCGTTACAAATAGATTATTTTTTTTTAAGTGCGTATTCATATTGGGTTGAGTCACAGGTAAAATAGAAATTATACAATCTAGAATATGATCTAAACTTGATTTTTAACTCAAAATTTCAAATTTAAACATGATAGGATATGAATTCTTTTAAGTTATGTTCAGATATATGGAAAGGAAACTACATAAAGAATATTATTAGGGTTGTAAGAATCAGGACACAATTCGGATCGGATCAAGATTTTTAGTCATTCAATGACCTCATTTCTACATTTTAGGTTATCGGATCAATTTGAAATTCGATCAGATCCAACACTACTAGAAAAGACGGTTGATAATTGTGAAAATTTACCGCCAATTTTAATCCGTGACAATTAAAAGTCACAGAAAGTAATTTCGTGACAAATTTATGTCACAATTTTTTGCTTTGACTATTTCGTAAGTAATATTTGAAGAAAAAGTTACAAACAACTTTTTGTGATTATTTAAACTAACGGCTCATGTAATGAAAATGTCAAAGATATTTCTATTCCGTATCTTTTGACTATTTTAAGTTGCGGAAAAAATAACCAAAATACTTGCAACATTGTAAATTATTACATATATTGTCATAGTATAATTTCCGTGACTTTTTAAAATCAAATGTCACAACATAAGTAACAAAAATAACTATAAATTTTTTCTTATTATCGTTCGTAGTTATTTAAAGTAATAACAAAATAATAAAATTATTTTCAATATCTTTATTTTTTTTACTTGTATTTTAATTAAATAATTTATTTTTTTTAACTATTCATCACTATTTAAAATCATGATATTGAAATATTAGCAATATCTTAATTATATATTTATTTTTATAAAGAAATTCTACTATTTAGAGTTACATTATAGATAATTTTATTTTATTTAATTTTTATTTGATTAATATATATTGATTTAAGTTATTGCAAATATTAACATAAACCAATATTTAACTATTTATATTTACCATATCGATAATGTTTTTAAATATATTGTTAATTTTAAAATATTATATGATAGATTGTTTTTTTTTAAAGAAAGGATTGAATCTAAAAATATAAAAATAAATAATTTATTGACTATAGATGAAATTAAAAAACTCTTGATAATAAAAAAATATTATATGTTAAATAAATTTAATTTTTTATATTAATAGACAAAGTTAATTTTTTTGTTAAAAATTCATGATGAAATATGTATATATTGTTAAAAAATAAATTTATAACCAATAATTTATATAGTTAAAATATGATAATAAATAAAAATTAATACTTTAAAGTAGATAGCTAAGTTGGCATGACATGTCGTATAAGTCTTTAATAACTATAAGGTCACTAGCACGAAACCCTTTGACTTGCAGATTAAATTAACAAATAACTATAAAATCATTGGTTGAAAAATAGTGTGGTATGAAGTAATTCGGATAAAAATAATCGTGTATGGTTGCATTGAACAAAAATTATAATATAATTATATATATATTTTCAAAAATATAAAGTTACGAAATTGTTACAACTTTCGTTAATATAAATTCACCGATGTGTAATGGTATTATTTTGAAACTTATTGTCACGAAAATGTCACACAATTATAAAATATTCACGAAATTTTGTTGCAGCTTCTGTTGCTATATAAAGTCACGGTATTATTCTGTAACTTATTGTCACAGAAATGTCACAACTTAAGAAAAAATCACCAGCAAAATTCCACATAAATGATTAATTTTCTGACAGTGTAACTTGAATTATTTTCTGGTAGTGCAACTTGTATTAAAACAATTTGTATTAAAACTGTGATTTTTTTTTATTGCAACTATAGCTTAATTTTTTGGTAGTGCAATTTGAATTATTTTTGTTTAACGTTCAAATTGATTTGATTTTTAAAAGATCCTATATAATTAGATCCAAACCTAAAAATATTGAGATGAAATAGTTTTGCATTCTCGGTTGTATTCAACATTGACAACCTTAAGTGTTATTCACAAAGTATCGAAGGGTTCGTTCCTTTTACCCCAAACCACGTGTTTATATACTTAGACTCTGCATTTTTCGAAAAAAAAAAATTATTTTAAAATATCCTATCATATATTATTTTAATACTCTCTTAAAGAAGCAACTCGGTTTTCTTAGGGCCTGTTTAATACTCCCTCCGTCCTAGATAATAATTTGAGGCTATTACTATAAATACGATAATTTACGTAAAGTATAATTAATAAGTAATTAAGAACTGTATTAGTAAAAATAATTATTGTATAGTAAAAGTAATTATAAATGAAGATTAAGATAACTAAATAATTTAATTAAAGTTAAAAAAAATTATAAATATTAAAATATGATTAAAATGTATAATCTATTTCTAAAAAAAATGAAAAATTATGTGAAACGAAAAAAAAATAGAAAATAGAAACAAATTATGTAGGACGTAACTGACATCCTTATCATTTTAGTTCCTTAATTGAAACATGTATAAAGATCATCTCCTAAGTGATTTTTTTTTTTTCCTTTCACAATTGGTCATCTGGCTCGAAAATACACATGTGACACCCGTCTAGCACGCCGGAGCACACGTGTTCACCAGGTAGGTGCAACAAAATTTGACCACATGATTAAAATAATAATGATGCTTACTTACAGGACTAAAAAATTCTATGTGTCTGCCGGCTGGCGCCTATTTGGCGGATACGTGTGCTCCGGCGTGTTAGGGAGGTGCCACGTGCACATCTCTAGAGGACCAATTGTACCAAAAAATTCACCTACGAGAGGATTTCTATACATTCTCCGGTTACAAGACTAAAATGATAAAGATATCCATTACGGTACTAAAAAACGCTTTTCCCTGTAATATTTGCATGTAAATAGTATCCAATTTGTCAATTACTTTTATAATTGTATAATTTACACTATTTCAATAAAAATATATCATTATTTTAAAATCTAAAAATAATAAAAATAAATATTTTATAACACTTTTACAATTTCAAATAATTAATAACAAAAATTTTCAATTTCTAAACACAAAACAATACAATCGAATATTTTAAAAAGAATAATGTAAATGTCCGTTATTTCATAACATACAATATCAAATAGTTATTTTACCAAATACTTTAATGTAAATAACTAATTGAATCAACTAGTCAAACTAACTAATTGAATGTTAAAAGCTATCAACTAATTATCAAAAATAATATCAATTTAGAAAAAATGGTCCTATATTTTTTCTATGACTTTTTTTAAGTAAAAGGCCACTAATTTATATTGAAACCACTGCAACATATGTCTAATTTTTTTGATAGTGAGATTTTAACACTTTTTTTTTTTTTTTTTTTTTTAAGTAAAACAATACATTGTACATTGAATAATGGGTTTGGACTCACACCCCAACTTCACCTGCCACACATGATTCGTGTAGTGTGACTTACTTTGTCAAGCCTAAATTACAGCGTATTAGAGTTCGGCAGAGGATTTATCCAGTGCACACTTTCGGGTAGCGGCTGCGCGTCCCACGTTATTAAAGAAAAATAAATAATGGGTGTGGACTCATGACCGCGAGGGTCATGAGTTCAAACCCCCGACGCCTATAGGTCTCGCCTACTATACATAGTTCGTCTAGTGCAACTTATCTTGTCGGACCTCATTTACAAGCCATTAGATTCGATCGAGAGTTTACCAGAGCGCCATCGTTGAGTAGCGGCAGCATATTTGCAAATTATGAAAAAAATAAAAAAACAATGTGACTAAAATAATAAACTACTCCTCAAAATTTATTTCTTTGAAGTGATCGAGGAGATGATGGATCTTCTCAACTTTTATCTCTTATTCTTTTCTTCTTTTTGGGGCAAGAATTAACCACTTTGGTGAACTGTTGCTGTCTTTATTTATTAATGTATGCAAGTAAAATTAATACAAGCTGAAATTTTAATTTTGTCATAGACGAAAAAAGCAGTAAACTATTAACTATACATATTAAATTTTAAGTTTAATTTTAATTATATATATATATATATATATGCATGTAAGGAAAATGTTACCATAAAGCAGTAGAAAACTTCTGCAAATTCGTGTGTTGGCCATGTGAGACTCCATTTTTGTTCTTCTATGGTAGTAATAACTATATATTAATTATATATTACCTACTTTCAACAGTCGATTTAATTACTACATTGATGAGCAACAAAATGAAGGTGAAAGTACTTCTACTATTTATGAGCCAAGAAAAGAAGATGGTTCGGGATTGTTTGGTTCTAGTTTGAAATTGATTTGAAATCAGATGTGATTTGAATTTTTATTTAAATAATATTATCTCCGTCCGGTTTTAAGGGTCCAATTTATATTTGAATATTAATTATTATATGAAAACGCAGTACAAAACAATGAAAAATAACAAAAATATTTCAATTAGTGTCTTA